CCAGACATTGTGAATCTTTTCTTCTTGGGTGCTAGACATTTTTGTATTCCTTAATATTCTTAAGGATTGTTCTATGATTAAATTGAGTTATCTAGAAACAGTCTGAGCATTTTGAGGCTTTTAAAAAAGCTTTGTAAGGCAGGACCAGAGCATCCTTTCATCTAAGGCTATGTCTCAGTACTGAGACAATACTTTTCAGAGTACTCTATCCAGTGCTCTATTAATTAGGAAATTTTTCACTCCAGGTGGTGGAAACAAAAACTGTTCCTGGCCATGTATGAACTCCTGGGACTGTTCCTCTTCTCCTTTGGAATGCTTCTTCCTTGGCCTCAGATAAGTTACTTACCTTCATGTGCTGATTAGCACTCATCTGAAGATTTAAGGGAGACCCTTTGCTGACCTCCCAAGCTTTCTCTGCATGCAGCTCTTTCCTTGTTAGTATTCTATGAACTCAGCTCCTCTGGTGCCCTCAAATCCAGCTTCACCAAATCAACCCCTGGCCTCCACCAGAGTCCTCCTCCATCACTCTAGAAACTCTTTTCAAGGTGAGAAAATAATAGCGTTCACATTACTTTTTTTCTGTTCCTAAGTGATCATTATCTTGCATTGTCTGATGTGCAATGTCTAAAAACCATTGTTTCACATATTTTGTCTGGAATTTATTTCAACTGGGAAGATGAATCCAGTCTTATTCTATTTTGGTCAGAAGTCACATGTTGTTGGGACGCCTGGGTGGCTCAGTTGGTTAAGCAGCTGCCTTCAGCTCGGGTCATGATCCCAGGGCCCTGGGATCGAGTCCCACATCGGGCTCCTTGCTCAGCAGGGAGCCTGCTTCTCCCTCTGCCTGCCTCTCCCCCTGCTTGTGTTCTGTCTCTCTCTCTGACAAATAAATAAATAAAATCTTAAAAAAAAAAAGAAGTCACATGTTGTTGTTTTTTATGATAAGAGAAATTTGTATATATTCATAGAGGGGAAAAGATTGAGTGTAAGGTAGAAATTGAAATTGAAGAGAGAGAAGGAAAGATTAATGAATGAATTTCCTAAAGGAAGTACAAAGGAGAAATCATAAAAAGCTGGGATGGGACTTACCTTTGGACAGGTAAGTCTGAGACAGGAAGGAAAGAGGTGAGTAACAGTGATAAAGCAGAGAAATTTAGATGCAGAGTATGTTTGGCCAGTTAATATTAAGTGAGCTCCTATTATGTAATGTGAATAAATCTCAACTACTTTCTGCAATGTGGGTCAGGAGATGGAGGAGGAGAGTGAAGTGTGATTCCTAGCACAGGTCTCCCTGAAATCACTCTCCTTCCGAATCCTTATTCCTGAGCTTTCCATATTCCTGATAAAAGTGAGGGTTTTATAGATTATCTAATGAGTTCTTAATCAACTTACTTTAAAACTGCTGTTGGTCTGATTCACAGCTCACATTGGTATCTGATATCTATCATCTCCTGGTGTCTCCACTGATCTTTTCAAATTAATATCCTGTTACACAATACTACCTAAGGGATATAAGACACATAAAAATACAATTTCAGTTTAGGGAAGTAAGTGTTCAATTCTGTTAAGTGTTCTGCACATCAGGTTGTGGAAACACAGTGGATGGGTGGGGGCCCTACATAATCTTTAATGGCCAGATAAATGCTGCCATAAAGAATTGCCCTTATGACCCAAAGGTATTAACCACAAAATAGATATGGGGACAGGAGTGGTGAGAAGAAAAGATGTTCCATTAGGGGGAGGAGTATGAGTACAGGTCTGGAGGCAGGAGAATTATTGGAAATGTAGATGGGTTAATAGGATAGGTGAGGTCAGGGAGCTCATCAGAAGCTATATCCCACAAATACCCTGAATGCATTCTGGGTGTTTCGAATTGATCCTGAGAACAGTAGGGAATCCTCGAGGAGTTTTAAGTAGAGGAGTGACTGCAATCAATTTTGTTTTTAGAAGTCATTCTGGTAGCAGTGTAGAGAATACAAGGGAAGGAACGAGACTGTTAGAATATTCATTGTGACAGGGGATAATATCCTGAGATAGAAGGAGAACAGTGGGGATAGAGAGAAGTGATACATGCTAGAGAATAAGGTAGTAGAACCGCCAGGCCTCACAACTGATTAAATATGTGGCATGAGAGGAGCTACCCGGGGAAACACCCAGATGTTTGTCTTGGATTACTGGACTGACAGCCTTGTTTTCAATGAAACAAGTATTACCGGTTAGATGTCCCAAAACTCCTTGTAAGGTAAGAAAAAGTAGGGGCATCTGGAATGGTTTAGAGTTGCTTTTTTATTCATTGAACATATTGTCTAGTGTGCCAGGCTTAAAGATGGCGAAAGGAAAAGAAGCTATGGGAAAATAAGCAAGACAAGTAGTAGGGGGAAGGGGGGAGTGACAGAAAATGACAACCTCAGGAATCCCTAAGGCCCAGTCCAGGTTAGATAACATGAATTAGTAGTGGAAACAAGAGTCTTGGTGATTACCTTCTTTCAGCAACCCTGGGTGCTGTGAAAGTAGAATCAGAGAAAACAGGTAGAGATGGTGGGTTGAAACCCAGCTGCAGAATAGGAGCAGTGTGGATAAATTTACAGTAAGGTACAAGATGGGAGACAATATGTGGGACTAATACAAGCATCTGTAAAATGCCTTCCCATGAGCACAGAATGGGGCCAATGAGAGAATAAAGAGAGAATGAAAGACTGAAGGCCAAGGGGCTGAGAATGAAGGAGAGTTTGATGAATAGGAGATAGCCATCAGAGAGAAGGTCAGCATTCGAGGGAATGGAAGTAGTGAAATTCCAACAAGGTGGGTCCAGATGTGATTTCACCTCATTGAAGGTAGCAAGTGGTTTTGAGGCAAGTTTGTTGAAAGTATCGTGAATATGAATGATGACATTCCAAACAAGGGTATCCACAGAAAGTCTATGAAGAAGACAAAAGTCACTCTGGAAATCAGTAAAGGAAACAGGATGGGGAAAGAGCAGAAAAGTGAAACTGTTAAGCGCTTGTAGTCAATTGTGTAGAGGAAGGGACACACTGGTGGGGTGGGGGTGGTGATGAGTGCTTTCCTTCCTTGGAGTCCAGAGGTGTTGCTTTCATTAGAAGGAAACTGGTATCATCAAGAGAAAATGGGTTTGGGTAGTGATCATGAGAAGGGAAAACCATTCTAGGAAGGAATTTATTTTCAAGCAAATAATATGTTACAATAATAGAAGAGGACTCAAGGACAATTCTTTTCATTCCACTGGTCATTATGGCAGCAGGTAGAAGAGGAAAAGCAGGGATAGTCAGGGATACATGGTATATAGCAAGGTGCTGGAATTTTTTAAACAAGTGCAGTTGAGGATCTCTGAGTCATTCGCATTTCTGGAAACTCCAAAGTCATTTTAAGTTTATTCACTAAAATTGGGGGGGCCCATCATAGTTTTTGAGCATCTCCATGATAAAATTCTTTGAAGAAGTCTTTCCTTTGAACGTTCTTTAAGTGCTTATGGAGAAATGTTAGGCAGAAAATTAGATACGATACAATACGATATGATACGATACGATACACAGGAAGATTATTCCCTACCTCTCAGGGTCTGAACACAGAGTTCACTGATGAAACAAATTAGTGCAGAAAACTTTAAATTTCCCATTAAATAACTAATGGGATTCGTTATTTCTAACTATGTTCACTGATGAAACAAATTAGTGCAGAAAACTTTAAATTTCCCATTAAATAATGGGATTAGTTATTTCTAACTATTAATGTTAATGTTAATTAATTTAATTAAATATTAAATATCAGAAAGTGATGACTAATAGGAGGAATATACAAAAGGTTTCACCCACACCCTGTTTTGTGGTTTTTGCCCTAATCCTGCCACACCTATGAGTTTCACTTATTAAAATAATAAAGAAGTAGAATGACTAAAATCTGCTGACCAATGCATGGAGCTCTACACAGTCCCTTAAAGGCTAGTACTGACAGAAAAGATCAGTATTGCACTTGGAGAATGCCTGATGATGTTAGCCAATATTTTTTTTCCAATTCTACCTGTGTATGCTTGTGTGTGTACTCTCGTTTTTATTCAGCTGATCTTTGAGAAGATTAATCTCATATCCTTTATTTCACTTAAAAAATGTTGACATTAAAATCAAAGATAAAATGGGGATAAACTGGGGCAGGGAATCTAAACTATACATAGCATCCTTTCTTTAAAAAGTCCATTTAAGTGTTTAAGAGACAACAACAATTCATAAGTTTCAGACCGGTAAAATCAATAATTAAAGTTTTATGCGGAAAATATAGCCTATGCAACATCATGTGTACACAAGAGCATGATATGTGTGTGTGTAAAAATTCAAAAAAAATAGGAGTCATCATATTAGCCGCCATTAAAGGGGCGCTTCCCATGCGCTAAACTCTTTTCATGTTAATGTAATCTGGGCAATCACACGAGGTGAATACCCTTACCCCCATTTCACAGATGAGCACACCACCGGCGCACAAAGAAGCCAGCTGGCTGTCCAGCATCCACTGCCACTGGAGCTGAGCCATCTGACTCTGTCCTAGTGGTATTTTAAAAAATCCCACTAGAGTCCCATTTAAAGCAGATCCGCTCCACTTTTTAGGTGTGACTGGTAACCTTGATTTTACCTTCCGAGTCACAACTTCAAGACCTATCTTGTAGTTAAATTGAGGAAAGTGGGGTAGGGAAGTTGTGAGAGCTGGGGGGGTTGGGGAGGGCAGGTGGAAGAGAACAGGTGGAAACTAAGAGGGGGATAGAAGAAACAAAGAGCAGGGCGCCGGCCCGCGGAGGGGCGAGCGGAGCGGGGGAGGAAGGACCGCGCCAGGTGGCCGCAGCACCTGTGCACGTGACAGGCGCGGGCGCCTGGGCCGCCGCGGCGCGCTCACCTGGACCCACGTGACGGGGCGGGGCCCCGCGCGGCTCAAGACAGCGCGGCCACGCCCCCTCCCGCGCGGCGCGCCCGGACCCCGCGGACCCAGGCGGCGGCGGCGGCGGCGGCGGCGGGAGCCCGGGCGGCGGCGGCGGGCGGAGGGAGGCGGCGGCGGCGCGCGGAGACGCAGAGCGGCAGCGGCAGCATGTCGGCCGGCGGAGCGCCAGTCCCGCCGCCCCCGAATCCCGCCGTGTCCTTCCCGGCGCCCCGGATCACTCTGCCCGCCGGCCCGGACATCCTGCGGACCTACTCGGGTGCCTTCGTCTGCCTGGAGATTGTAAGTGGGGCAGCCTCGGCGACGGTCGCACCCGGGGAGCGAGGAAGGGTAGCGGCATCCTTGTTCCCCGGGCTGCCTCCCTCTGCGCGCGCCCCAGCTCCCTTCCCCTCGACGTGGCCTTTACCTGCGCCCCTCCCGGGGTCCTGCCCTCTCCCTGCCTAGCGCAGCCCGCACCCGGGCCCACTCGCCTGGCACCTGTTACGCTGGCACCTGTTCCCCCGCTGGGGACAGAAGTCGCCCCGAGAGAGCGAGCAGACGGCCCGGCGGGGCCCAGGCTTGGGGACTTTGAGAGGGGAAGGGCGTTTAGGCCTGGGGCACCGCCAGAGACCACCGGCGGCTTGGCCAGGGGCCGCGCTTGGCTAGAGCTAGAGCAGGCGCTCTCGGTCTCGCCTGTTGCTAACCTGCCATTTTGTTGGGTGGTGCAAAGGTGTAGCCAGCCGATGATTGAGTGACCTGGAGGCTGCCACGATGTGAAAAGCCGAGGCGGGAGGTACCAGGAAGAGAAGGTGGGCTTAAGACCTGGGCCTTCTCCCCCACCCCCCTTGTCTTTATTTGTGCCCTTTGGATTGGGGAGAGGAGCAGGGCTTAGGAGGCAGGGCAGGGGAAAAGGTCAAGCATGAACCGTGCCCTTGGCAGTTTCTAATCCGGTGGGTGCTAGAGTGGCAGAGGAAAGGTAGAAACGTGGTTGTCAAGTTCCTCGCTGCCTACCTGTGAACCTTCTGGCTTCCTAGTGGACCTGTGCAGCTCCACATCTTCTCACACACTTTAAATTGGGTGAAGGTGAGGTCACCTGGCCACCCTGCAACCTTATTGGGCTAGAGACTTAAACTTTTTAAATGCAATTTTATGGAGTTGGAAGCTTTTGGAACTCGCTGTGGACTAGGGGAAATGTGCAAACATAAATTGGGCAACTCGAGGTTGCATCACGCTCTGAGAATGGCAAATCCAGAGTGCAGTGTTAGCAAGTCCCTGCCCTTCCTGCAGGCTGTTGTTTGGTTGGCTAGGAGTTCTCGTCTCCCTTCCCTCACCTGTTCCTTTGAGTTTGCATAACCTCGATTTGGTCGCTTCAGTTTCACTTTTGTGCTTGTGGGGCTGGAACGCCTTGTGAGCATTGGTTTTCTGCTCTATTATGCCAAGGTGGCGAAGGCCTGCTAAGTTAAGTTTAGCTCAGATTGGAATCTGAAAAAGGAGACAAGTGAGTTACAGGCTACGACATCAGTAATCGGATCGTGATGGCGAGGCTGGAAGAGGCTGGTTTGAGTCTGAGCCCAGTTCAGAAGCATCTGAATGCTTGGGATGAGGCACAGGCATCCATGTGAGAAGAGTAGGGAGAGAATGGCACTGGGCCCAGGCTCTGTTGTGTGTGGGGGAGATGCGCTTAGAACAGTAGGATCTGGGGAGAAAGCTTGTATAAGTTCTGGGCTGCTTTAGTTCCGTGTTCCTCAAACTCCAGTAGTTTGCATACCTCTTTTACAAGTTTATGCCAAATCCGCATTCCACCTGTACTAGAATTTACAGAATGTTCACTTCGATTCCCTTCCTAAACTTTAGTACCTACTTTAAGCCTCATCCTAAACAATAGTACACATGAATCCTCAAATTTGATATACTGGGGGTATTTTTCTAATATTTACTCAAATATATACTTACACATTTACATATGCATGTATATGTGTAAAGATATGTAAGGGTACCTGTATGGATATATGGACATATATACAAAGAGGTCTCATCCATGTGCCGTCAAATCAAATACTGTCTCAAGGACCGTCCATGGTCTTGTCACACTGTTGGAAACGCTGCCTAATTCTGAGGGGAAAAAGTGGAAGTGATTTATTCTATTCTGTTTCCTCTTCCCTGCCCCCATATTTCTTTGTCTGGCCCAGTAGTTAGTTCTCAACTCTGCTGTACTTAATTACTTGGGCAGCTTTAAAAAATACGGTGACTGGCCCAGACTAATTAAATCAGAATCTCGGGGGGGTGCCCAGAGTCAGCCCGGTTCTTCTAAAAGCTCCCCAGAGGTTCTGGGGTACAGTCATGGCTGGGACTGAGAGCGGCCTTTATCAGGGCCCTGTGGACAAGACAGCAATAGTGCAAATATGAATTTTCTCCCTGTGCAAGAGCTTCTACCCCTCGCCATTCTAGTAGGGACCTAGGCTCACAGAAGTAGCCAGACTTTCCTCTTATCTCTTCACGTCATCTGGCTTCTTACTCCAGAAACATGTCTCGGACCCTTACCTACATAGAATAGCATCACTTCCAAAAGCCATGTCAGTTTACTTTTCCCTTGTTATGGCCAAACATATGTGATAGGTTAAAATCTAGGCCTCCCTTACCTCTTTACTTGAATATCATCCTCCCTCCTCCCCAACCCATCCCCGCAGAAATAAAAGAACTGAAATCGTCCAATGAAACTGGTGACCTCAGAGAAACAACAGACCTCATTGGAGCCAAACTATAGCTCCTTCTTGGCTCTTACCCTTCCCCCCGCTTAGAGATATTGGATTATATGCCCATATATACAAAGAAGTCTCATCCATGTGCCGTCAAATCAAATACTGTCTCAAGGACCATCCATGGTCTTGTCACACTGTTGGAAATGCTGCCTAATTCTGAGGGGAAAAAGTGGAAGTGATTTATTCTACTCTATTTCCTCTCCCCTGCCCCCATATTTCTTTACTGAAGATAAAGAAGAAGATATTGGATTATATTATAAGAGAGCAGAGATCAAACTTGCTCAGAAAATTCAGTCTCACAGATGGTGGGTATACTCACTGTGGTGAGCACTGAGTAATGTATAGAATTGTCAAGTCCCTATGTTGTACACCTGAAACTAATATAACATTGTATGTCAACTATACTTCAGCGTATTTTTTTTCAAGTTTTACATAAAGAATTCAATCTCAATCCCCCTTATCATACCCATTCATAATCTCTCAAGTATAAGCCACTTGTTGAGAGACAATTCCAAAGATGCAAACAGCGCCCCCCTAACAGCACCAGGTAAGGCAATTTATAGCACTAGCTCTGTAGGTAGAGAAGATTGCAACCACACATGCATGGTGTGCTTTTTTGAGATAGGTGTGTTCCACTTCCAGATATGTAGGTTGTCAGCCCCTCAGTTTTTGCACCGAGCTATGCTTGCCATGAAGACCTTAATACTAGGTTATTTTTGCAATGCAAAGCCTTTTAGTTTAGGAGGGAAAACATCACCTTCAAAGTTACATTTTCAAATTCTCTCAGGGTTTCCTGAATTATTGTTTTCTAAGTCATTTGTCGGATATTTATTGAATACCTACTGTGTGCAAGGCACTCTTGCGGGAAAAAAAGATGTTTAGACCTTTCATCACCTGAAAGAACATATAACCTAGTTGAGATGGTATGTGTAAAAATAACTACCATTCGAGGAAGAAAGATAGAAGTATGGAAAGTGAACTACAGCTAAAGTGTTTTCCAGGCAGGTCTGTTCATAAGAAAATGACATCGGAGCATCTGTACTATTGGGCTGAATAAGATATTTTGGGTCCCTGTCCTCAGCTTACCTTGTATAATGCACAAGAAAGATTAGATGTAACAGTATTAAACATGGAAAAGAATAAAGATCAATATATTGAATTCAGTGTGTTTCATGGTTTCGGTGTTTGGGAAACTGCCCACGTTCCCCAAGAGCTTCATTAGTGTTTTTCTTTATGGGAGATATTCTAGGACTCGTATTCACATGCTTCAACCTGCAGTGTTGTGGATGTCCCAGTAATTTTCAGTTATTCAAGAAATAGTTAAGAATCTGCTATGTATCGGGCCTTATTTTATACCCTGAAAATAGGATAGCTCCTACCCTTAAAAGAAATTCCTATATTGTGAAGTATAAAGTCAAGAAAGAATTATAGTGCTGTATTTGAAGTGATAAAATTGGTTCATGAAAAGTACTATTGAAAAACAGGGTAGAGGGGTGCCTGGGTGGCTCAACCGATTAAGCATCTAACTTTGGTTCAGGTCATGATCTCTGGGTCCTGGGATGGAGCCCAACTTTGGGCTCCCCGCTCAGTAGGGAGTCCGCTTGTCCTTCTCCCCCTCCCCCCACTCGTGCTCACTGGCTTGCGAGCACAATCTCTCTCTCTCTCTCAAATAAAATCTTAAAAAAAAAAAAAAAAGAGAAAAGAAAAACAGGGTAGAGCATGTCTGCCACTGAGGAGTCCAGGAAAGACAGCTTGAATGGGATGGTGACATTTGAGTTTAGTCTTAAATGATGAGTACACATTCAATAGACACAAAAAGTGGGGAAGAAAATTCCAGGTAGAAACAAGGGCATGTGTAAACCCTAGAGACGAGACCCACCATGGCATGAAGGTTCTAGCGGTTGTTAGTTTGTTTTGGTTTTTTACATAACTTGTGGGAAGGTGGCAGAAAGAGAAAGAGCAGGTAGGGCCTGAGCTGTGATGTGCTGAGAAATGGTAGGCCAAGGCATAGAATGGGGAGCTGCTGAAGGTCAGGGGCATTCGCCATCATACTTGTGTTTTAGAAATCTTTGAGTAGTGAGGCTTGGCTCTAAAACAGATTGAAGGCAGAGAGATCAGCGCAGGGGCTTATTTCAGTGGTTTGAATGAGGGATAATGACAACTGGACAAATGAAAGAAGTAGAGAAGAGAGACAGGTTTGACATTTAGAAGGTCAACCAAGTACGCAAAGTTTGGCGTGTCCTGAAATGATACTAGGCCAGACTTAAATATAAGATGTAACTCAGAGGAATTATGCCAGAAAAACAAATGTTAACGAGAGGATGATGGGGAGGGAGGGGCTCTGGAGCAGGCATGTGCAGTCATGTGGAGCGATCTGTGGAAGGGATTTCAGGTTATTTTCAACCCAGAGCTTTGACATTGGACTAACATATAAATGGTCAGATGTATAGAGTTTCCTTTTCTTGCCCAGAAAATAGAATCTGAGTTGCACAGGGACATTGTATGTTGGCAGTGGTAGGAGGAGCTCTCTGTGGATAGGTTTCC